AAAACATTTCTACCTAGAAAGTGGCAGGGTCTGGAAGTCTCACCCTGAACAGGCAACTCATTTAAAAGGTGGCTGGATATCCACCTGAAATTCTTAGGACCATAAGCAGAAAATAGGATTTGGACGGGCAGTTCATTTTTTTTGATTAGTGAAGACACGATGCACACACTAACTACCTTTTTTATGCTAAAAAAATTTAAAAACATGTAGAAAAAGTTAAATATTGAAAAAGGAGAAATGATCAGGGATGTAGCGAGAGCATTGGAGAATGGTAGTATGTGAATTACTACTTGGAAAGGCCAGCATGGCCAAGTTGGGCTGAAGGGCTGCCTTTGTGCTGTCATGACTCCGTGAAATGTTCAGGTCGGATTGTTTCTGTGGAGAAGGAAAAAGTTAACTTTTTTCAAAGTTATCAAACTAAAATATTAAAGCTACCTATATAAGCAAAAGTACACAGGCAGTGGGAAAGGAGGATAACAATAGGAAGGGTCTGACTGGGTGGAAGGCAGGATCCCCAGGCAAAAGGAGGTTTTATGGAACTCGTCAAGAAACAACAAAAGATCTGTCAAGAAGACGTAAATGAAAATAGCATAATCATCAATAACGTTTTTTTTTTAATCTGCTGGTTCATACTGGGCTAACGATTCCTGGGTCCCATTTAACTTCTGAAGACATTTTTTCATGTATTACTAAACATTGTTTCCTCGTGTCTGATGGAATTTTTTCTTATTTGTTCTCCACGAGGGGATTGCTGAGTAGTCTGGCATTTATTGCACATCGCTAATTGCCCATGACAGTGTTGGTGAATTACTTCATCCTTTGGCAGATACCCACAGTACTGTTAGGGAGTTACAGTTTTCAATCAGCATTGAATGTGGCATGGAGGAGAGTTTGCAGTGGTGCTGCTCTGTGCATCTGCTATCCCTGTCCTTCAAGGTGGTAGAGGTCATAGTTTTGGAAAGTGCTTTTGAAGGAAGTTTGAGTTGTTGGCAGTGTGTCTTTTAATTGGCACACACTGCCATTGTGTCTCTGTAGTGGAGTGCATATAGAAGGTAGTGATGGGGTGCTAATCAAGCAGGCTGCTTTGTCCAGTATGGTGTTGTCATCTTGAATAGTTTGGAGCTGCTGTGTTCCAGACAAGTGGAGAATATTTCATTACACTTCTGACTTGTGACTTGTAGATGGTGGATAGGATGGGGAATTGAAAGATTGTGGCATTCCTAATATTTGACTTCTTGGAATTACCGTATCCATATGGCTGGTTTTGTTCACTTTCTAGTTAATGATATAGTCAAGGCAATACAACTGCATGGTAAGAGACCTAGGTTAGCTATCCTCTTGGTGATGGTCATTGCTGCACGTGTATAGCGCAAGTGTTACTTGCATAATAAATTGTACAGGGTATGATTTTACTTGTGTTTTAAGAATAGGTGTGGATTTCTATGTCTTTGAAATTGAGCTGGTATAACTTATTAGTTAAGTTTGTTTTAAAATGATGTAGTCAATAAAGAGGTAGATACCATAACCGCTGTCCAGACACTTACTAACTTGACTTTACTCTGTGCATTTACATTAGAGATGTTTTGGGGGATGTGATGAACCCCTCATTTCCAGAATGACGAGACTTAATCTTGGCAGAATCATTTGGGAAGATGCCAAGGGAAGGGAGAGGAAAATTAGGCTGGTTCCTTTCAGTAGTTGGACGCATTATATATGGATTTTCTGTGATCTGGGTAACTTGTATAGCATGTGTTTGGGATTTTGCTGCCCACAGCTGCCTTTTGAATAAACTTTCTGGATGTGACCACTGACAAAGCATTTATTGCTTATCATGAGCAGTTTGTATACCTGTTCCTGAGCTTCCTACTTCAACCACTAGTAACAGTTTGAAAAAAGACTGAATGGCTTCATAGGGCAGTTGTTCTCCCATGTTAGTGTAGAACTAAAGTCTGATTTAGGCCAAACAGAACAGAGTTTGTGATAACCTTAAGATAGTGGTAACACTTCAGCTGAGTCACAAGGTTGTGGTTCAAACTCTACCCAGCACTGTAAGCATGTTAGTTAGTACAGGTAATACTGCACTGTCTGAAATGCCATTTTTCAGATAAAATGTGAAACCTATTTACCATATGCTTGTGCACATAATAAGCCACAGTAGAAGTCACAAAAGAACAAAACACTCTTCTAGTGTCCCCACTGACATTTATCTTTCAATCAGCACTCTTTTTTTTTTTTAAAAATTAAATTAACTGATTATTGAAAACAAAGACTGAGCGTGCAAGAGAAATACAGCAGATCTAGCAGCCTGTAGTTTCTGAACATATGCTGTATGCGTATAGTGGTTATTTCCTGCACTACAGTGTTAGAGCAGAAGCATTTCATTTGGTTGTGGAACAGTTGGGATGTCCATTGACCATGAAAAGCACTGAATAAAATCAAGTTTTTTTTTTAATATTAAAAAAATCAGAAGAACTGTGGATGCTGGAAATTGAAAACAAAATCTGAAATTGCTGGAAAATCTGAGCCAGTTTGGCAGTTTCTGTGGAGAGAAAGCAGAGTTAATGTTTCAGGTCATTGACGGGCGGTCACTTGACCCAAAACATTAACTGTGCTTTCTGTTCACTGGTGATGCCAGTTCTTTAATATAATAGATTCTCAAATGCAGATGAAGTTGTCAATGTCATGTAAGTATTTAATACTTTGCATGCTGTTCTGCTAATTCGAGAATTGTGTAGAGTCAGCAATATAATTAAATTGATGACTTGAATATTATAAAGCTGGTACATCCAGTATATTGTCAGCGTAAAGTAAAATGAAGAACTCAACCTTTTTCATCTGTCGCATGTACTGTTTTTTTTAAATAACTGTATTGTAGAGCATTAATCTGAACTTTGAATTGAAGAACGGCATCATCATACATTTCAAGAGCTTTTGAGTCTGAATCAATTCTGACTCACTTAGTACTGATATCCAATTAGTAATCCAACACTTCTGTTCCACATTGATTTTTGCATTTTCATCTCTTCCATGCTTTTCAGAATTCGCATCTCAATACATGTTTCCCAGCTGAAAATAGACAGGGTGTTTAGGTTGTCAGCACATCTGCAGAATTATGACAGAGAGCCTTTATTCCTTGGTATAATGGATTGGAATTTCAGAAAGCTGAGCCCAGTACATTGCTTTTGGTTTCCTCAAACTTTAAAAAAGAATTCAGGAATATGCAATAAATAAACATCTGTCAGATAACTATGGTTTCATGTGGGTCTAATTACCATTGTGAAAAATTATGCTATTTACATCCAGAATATATCTGATGGACAAGTCTGCAGAAGTCCTGAGGCTCATTGTTTGATGGAATAATGATTAGATAGGTCAGTGTTTTCCAGTTCTGGCATTACGTATATAAAATGTGAAATTTTGAAATTAAGTACCTTGCAATCCATTAGAAGAAATTCACCTTTTAAATAATGAAGTATAAGTTTGCTGAAAAAAATCATTTTACACTTTTGTATAATCTTCCATTCAATTCCTGGGAAAATCAGATCTTGTCATGTATAGTCAGAGTTCTACAGCCTGGAGACAGGCCCTTTGGCCCAAGCTGATCCATGTTGACCAAAATGTCCATCCACGCTAACCCCGTTTCTCTGCACCTCGCCCACATCCTTCTAAATCTTTCCTATTCATGCCTTTTAAATGTTGTTAATGTATCTGCCCGAACCATTCTGTTGGCAGCTCATCCATATGCATACCATTCTCTGTTTCTAAAAAAAAAAGTTGCCCCTAACGTTCCCATGTATTCTTTTTCCATTACCTTAAACTGATGCCCTCTAGTCCTCGATTCCTCAACACTGGGAAAAAGACTAAGTGTATTCACCCTATCCAAGTCTCTCATGATCTTATACACTTCTATAAGATCCCCCCTCAGTCTCCTATGCTCCTAAAGAAAAAAAGTCTTAGTTTGTCCAACCTCTCCCTATATCTCAGTCCTTTGAGTCTTGGCAACATCCTTGTAAACTTCTTCTGTACGCTTTCCAGTTTAATAACATCCATCCTATAGCAAGGTGACCAAAACTGAACACAGTACTCCAAGTGCAGCCTCACCAACGTCCTGTACAACTGCAACATAACTTCCCAACTTCTGTACTCAGTGCCCTGACTGATGAAGGCTGGTGTGCCAAAAGCCTCCTTCACTGCCCTGTCTACCTGTAACTACACTCTTTCAGAGAACCATGCGCCTGAACTCCATGGTCCGTCTGTTCCACCACACTCCTTAAGGCCCTACCATTCACCATGAAGCTCCTACCTTGATATGATTTCCCAAAATGAAACACCTCACACTTACCTACATTAAACTCCATTTGTCATTACTCTGCCCATTTCCCCAGCTGATCAAGTTCCCACTGCAATTTCTGATAACCTTCCTGACTGCCCATGATATCGCCTATTTTAGTGTCATCGCAAAATTACTAATCATGCTTGATGCATTCTCATCCAAATTGCTGTTTGAACAGATATCAACAATGGGTCCAGCACGGACCCCTGAGGCACACCACTAGTGACAGGCTTCTGGTCTGACAAGCATCCTTCCACTATTACTGTCTGTTTTCGACCATCAAGCCAATTGCTTATCCAGTTTGCCAGCGCTCCCTGAATTCCAAGCAATCTAATCTTCCAGAGTAGCCTACCATGTGGAACCTTATCAAAGGCCTTGCACTTCTCCATATATTGGTGCTGCATTGCAGAGTGAAAAGACTTTTTTTTGAATGTCTGCTAATTTATTCTGAAGGCGTATAGACTATTTTTTAAAGTACTTAAGGATTTCCAGACTTTCTATTTTGCAGACTTCAAGATATTTTTATACACAAGTGATTTTTTTAAACAGCAAGTTACATAGAGCAGGGTTTGTCTGGTTCTCAGCCAGTAGTTTATTCTGTGTGTGTCCTGCAATATGGGATGTGAAAATATTTACTTAATCTTATCATATTTTTATGGTAATTTAGGTTGACCATTGCTTTCTTCGCATTGTCTGGCCTGGATATGCTGAGTGCCTTGCATATGGTGGATAAAACCAGCATCATTGAATGGATTTATTCTCTCCAGGTCCTTCCCACTGAAGATAGTGAGTGAGTTTTTGTTTTAAATCTTGAAATTAATGCTATTTAAAGATACTTGATCATTTTCTTTGTTCAATCTATTTCTGCAATATTCATTTTGTTTTTAAATAATTTTGTACATTGTGAATGGAATGCCAATCATATCAGCAGATATGTAGTATCCAGTCTGATGCCTTTCTTACTAGGTAGACCACCGTTGAAGGAAGCACAGATGAAACTGGATGTTGAATGTAACAAACTTATTGCATTTAAAAGTTCTGTGAATTTGTAATTTATACAATCAGGTGACTATTTGTATTTTTTTAATGGAGTATAACTTCGCTTAAATGTAACAACTATTATTGCCATCAGTGGGCAGAAATTTAGACAAAAAGTTGATTCTGTTCAAACTGCAGATTGTAACATTTTAGTGAAAGATACAGGGATAGGGGATGGGGAGATGATATGTTTATAATAGTGATAAATGATAGATGTGAGAAATACTGAAGGACACCATCATAGCCTATAGTAAGATATTGTTAATTGACCTGTTCAGGTGTTTTATGTCACACCTCTGGAGCAAGTGTGACATGAACCTAGACCACCTTGTTCAGAGGTAGGGACGCTACCACTGTGCCACAAGAGCTCCCCGTAGTAAGCCTATAGAAAGTCTGCACTTGGTGAGATTTCATCAAGGTAGTGGTTATTGATTAAGATTTATCAAAAAGAAAAAGCCATCTCATTTTGGATCTCATATTTTTGGCAACCAGACTTATTCATCATACATTATTGTTGATTGGCTAAGAAAATAATGGTGAGCAACAGTAATGGAAAGGTGGATAGGGACTGGACTTGGACCACTGGCAAAATTTCTTGTAATGGGGGAGGGGGAATCTTGCTAACGATGAGTTATGATATTTGTGCAATTATGATCATAATAGTTATGTATACAGCAGCAGAAAACTCCTTTAGCAATGGGGTACATGAAAGCAATCATAGGTGCAGTAATTCATAAAGTTTTGCAAGATAAGCCAGTCTGTTAATCATCATTTGCTCTAATGTGGGCTGCTCAAGTGGGGCCAAAAAAACTGTCGGTCGAAGAAGATAGTCCATGGTAGAGATCCTGTGTTCCATTAGTAATAAGCAACCAACCCTCATTTGGGAAAAGATTGCAATTAGCTTTACTACTTTGAAGCATTTGAATGGACTTCACTCAGGCAGAAAGCCACAGCCTCAAAGAATTCAACAAGCTTTAAGATATAATGTAAAACCATTGTAAACAAGTTTCAATTTGGGATAGGAGATAGTAGGAACTGCAGATGCTGGAGAATCCGAGACAACAAGGTGCAGGGCTGGATGAACACAGCAGGCCAAGCAGCATCATAGGAGCAGAGAGGCTGATGTTTCGGGCCTAGACCCTTCATCAGAAAAGGGGGAGGGGAAGGGGGTTTTGAAATAAATAGGGAGAGAGTGGGAGGCGGATAGAGGAGAGGATAGGTGGAGAGGAAACAAACAGGTCGAAGAGGCGGGGATGGAGCCAGGAAAGGTGAGTGTAGGTAGGGAGTTAGGGGATAGGTCAGTCCAGGGAGGACGGACAGGTCAAGGGGGCGGGATGAGGTTGGTCGGTAGGAGATGGAGGTGCGGCTTGAGGTGGGAGGAGGGGATAGGTGGGAGGAAGAACAGGTTAGGGAGGCAGGGACGAGCTGGACTGGTTTTGGGATGCGGTGGGGGGAGTGGAGATTTTGAAACTTGTGAAATCCACATTGATACCATTGGGCTGCAGGGTTCCCAAGCGGAATATGAGTTGCTGTTCCTGCAACCTTCGGGTGGCATCGTTGTGGCACTGCAGGAGGCCCAGGATGGACATGTCGTCTGAGGAATGGGAGGGGGAGTTGAAATGGTTCGCGACTGGGAGGTGCAGTTGTTTGTTGCGAACCGAGCGTAGGTGTTCTGCAAAGCGGTCCCCGAGTCTCCGCTTGGTTTCCCCGATGTAGAGGAAGCCACACCGGGTACAGCGGATGCAGTATACCACATTGGCAGATGTGCAGGTGAACATCTGCTTGATGTGGAAAGTCTTCTTGGGGCCTGGGATGGGGGTGAGGGAGGAGGTATGGGGGCAGGTGTAGCACTTCCAACGCATCATCCTCCGACACTTCCGCCATCTGCAATCCGACCCCACCACCAAAGACATCTTTCCCTCCCCACCTTTTTATCTGCTTTCCGGAGGGACAACTCTCTCCGTGACTCCCTCGTCCGCTCCACACTCCCCTCCAGCTCCACCACACCCGGCACTTTTCCCTGCAACCGCAGGAAGTGCTACACCTGCCCCCATACCTCCTCCCTCACCCCCATCCCAGGCCCCAAGAAGACTTTCCACATCAAGCAGATGTTCACCTGCACATCTGCCAATGTGGTATACTGCATCCGCTGTACCCGGTGTGGCTTCCTCTACATCGGGGAAACCAAGCGGAGACTCGGGGACCGCTCTGCAGAACACCTACGCTCGGTTCGCAACAAACAACTGCACCTCCCAGTCGCGAACCATTTCAACTCCCCCTCCCATTCCTCAGACGACATGTCCATCCTGGGCCTCCTGCAGTGCCACAACGATGCCACCCGAAGGTTGCAGGAACAGCAACTCATATTCCGCTTGGGAACCCTGCAGCCCAATGGTATCAATGTGGATTTCACAAGTTTCAAAATCTCCACTCCCCCCACCGCATCCCAAAACCAGTCCAGCTCGTCCCTGCCTCCCTAACCTGTTCTTCCTCCCACCTATCCCCTCCTCCCACCTCAAGCCGCACCTCCATCTCCTACCGACCAACCTCATCCCGCCCCCTTGACCTGTCCGTCCTCCCTGGACTGACCTATCCCCTTCCTAACTCCCTACCTACACTCTCACCTTTCCTGGCTCCATCCCCGCCTCTTCGACCTGTTTGTTTCCTCTCCACCTATCCTCTCCTCTATCCCTCTTCTATCCGCCTCCCACTCTCTCCCTATTTATTTCAAAACCCCCTTCCCCTCCCCCTTTTCTGATGAAGGGTCTAGGCCCGAAACGTCAGCCTCTCTGCTCCTATGATGCTGCTTGGCCTGCTGTGTTCATCCAGCCCTGCACCTTGTTGTCTTCAATTTGGGATATATAGTTTATTATATGAGGGAGGGGCTTAGAGTGGAGAGACTTGGAAAAATGTTATTGGTATAAACACAAGTAATTGCCTTGCAAGGAGCCAGAAACTTGTTGTACTCTCTTTAAAGTTGACTGGCATGAATTGCAAACTTTCAGATTGAAAAAGAGTTATACGAAGCAAAGAGGAACCAAGGAGAGCACACGCTGACAGAATGAGGTTCAAACTGTTGCAGTTAAAAGTTTGTCTAATAATGGACAGATCAGTTCTGACATTCAAAATGAGGTTATCGGTCCAAAAGACAACTGCCAAAAGTGGGTTCTAAAGTTAAATATTTGCTTAAATGAGCTGGTCAATGAAGAAATGGAATTATACTAATTTAGTGCAGGGAGGGCCACTGGAAGAGACAAAAATTGGTGTTGAATTTACAAGTTGAAGGGCAGGAGATTAGACCTATGGATTAGAAATGTGAAATACAAAAATGGAACGAATGAAAATGTAATACAAATTGCATAGTAAATCTGGAAGTAAAGGTAACCTCCTGAAACCATTGAAAGGAAACCTATTAATTGGAGAAACAGATAAAAGGCAAAAATGGGTAAAGTCTGACGAGGACAAGAAAATAGTACAAACCAGGAGTATTACCAGAAACGGAACACCAAATGATTGGGAAGTCTTAGTGACCATGAAAAGATTAAAGTTATGTTAATAAAAGGTGACCCACAGCCTGAATTAAAAATCTGGAGAGAATTTTTCACACGCGCAAAAGTGGCCGGTAGGGAACTACCAGCCCAATCACAGGGCAGGTATGTATGGAAAAGGTGCTTCCAAATGGAATGCGTAAAGCTGAAGCCGTGTTCTGAAGAAAATCTGAGGGATCAAGGTATGAGTACATTCACATATGTGAGGAAAAGCATTGAAGATTTTCTTTTTTTTTAAAAAGGTTACAGGGAGAAGGCAGGAGAATGATGTTGAGAAACATATCTGCCACGATCGAATGACGGAGCAGACTCAAAGGGCCGAATGGCCTTATTCTGTTCCTATGTCTTATGGTCATTACCAACTGTAATGTAACAAAATGAATATCGACAGTACATAAATGGAGTTTGCACAGAAATTTTTGCTATGAAGTACTGAATTTTGTTTTAGACTTTTCAACATCAATGCTCTTGATTAAGCAATGTTCTGCGAGGTTACGCATAGAATTTAGTCAATTGCATCTACTTATGACATCTTTGTGATGTTGCTGTTCACTACATCAGTCTTTCAATATCTTCTCTGTTTGAGTTATCCTACTGAACTTGCTTTTTATGTGGTTGTCTGTCTCTTCTTTCCTTTCACATGAGGTGTGGCATAGGCAGAGAAAGTGGCTACCAGTGACATGAATTCTTTCAAAAAGCCATGCTGAGTTTGCATGATTAGATTAGTTTTCCAAGTGTGCTGCTATAACTTCCTTAATAATTGATTTTCAACAGTTTTCCAGCAGTAGATGTTATGCTAATCACCCTGTGGTTACCTTCCCTTGTTGACTAGGGGTCACTAATTGGCAGTTTTTGAATCCTGTGGTACTTCTCCAGAATCCAAGGATTTTTGGAGAATTGAAAACGATGCGTCCTCTATCTCATAGCTACCTCCTTTCTAGGATTCTGGACTGCAAGCCATAAGGACCAGGGGACTTGTGCCTATATACTTATACTTTGCATCTGTGTCATGGAAGAAGATACTATTTCTAGGAGATTTTCTGTAAGTGACCAAGGGATTTGTGTAACTGCAGTGTTAAAAGAAATTAGCATTCATAAAGAGATAGCACTTGAAAAACATAGCTACGATGAGTGTTGGTATGTCTCCTAGACCAGGTGAGCTTTGTCCCAGAATGTTGAAGGAGTTAGCAAAAGAGACACTGGATGCGTTGTTAGTTAAAATTGATAATTCCTTGGATTCTGAAAAGGCTCGTGCTGACTGTAAGGTAACAAATGTAATCCTACTATTTTAAGAAGGGAGTAAGTGGGAGATTGGGGGGGCTACAGACCTGTTACAATCTAACATTTTCCCTATGACTGTCAAACTATCATAAAAACTGTGATAACTGAACATTTAGAAAAGAGTGGCAAAAATTGGTCAGAGTCAACATGGGAACATGAAACATTAATCTCGTTTGACAAACTGGGTTTTTTGAGACGTTACCTGTAGCATAGACAAATCAAAACTGATAGATATGGTGTATAGGCAGTTCTGCTATAATTCACGTTAATAAAGTATGTGTTGCTTGTAACATTGAATAATGGATACTGTTTGGATAACGTAAGTTTTCTGTACAAGTATAGCAATTTTCTATAGCGATTACCTTATAATGCGATTTTCATTGCATACCTACAGTGTGGAAAAAGGCCCTTTGGCCCAACAAGTCCACACCGACCCTCAGAGCATCCCACCCAGACTCATCCCCCTTTCACCCACCTAATCTACCCATCCCTGAACGCTAGGGGCAATTTAGCACAGCCAATTCACCTAGCTTGCACATCTTTGGATTTTCTATGGCTCTTTTCTGTAACCCTATTTTCTATAGTGTGAGGTCACACAAGAATGCAACTATCACGTTGCAGGAGAACTATCTGTATTAAAACTGAAAATTTTCTGAAGAAGGGTCAAGGCCCGAAACGTCAGCTTTCCTGCTCCTCTGCTGCTTGGCCTGCTGTGTTCATCCAGCTCTAAACCTTGTTATCTCTTACACCCTTCATTCCTCGACTTAAGGCATTAAGTGCTCTGGTCACATACAGACTGTTCCCAGTTGAAGTTAGTCTGAAACAAAATTATGTCTTGCATACATAAATCACAAAATATCAACTGTTACAGTACAAACGAAGGTGATTTGGCCCATCATGCTTGTGCCCGCTCTGCAAATGAGGATATGGCTTACTGCCATTCTTCTACCTTTTCCCTGTAATGCTGCACATTGTTCCTGTTCCGATAACTATTTCACTCCCTTTTCAGTGCTTCAGTTGAATCTAGGAGGATGGATTCCAGACCTTAACTGCTTGCTGCAAGAAAAGCTATTTTCCTTATCCATCTTACTCATTTCTTTAAAACTCTGTCCTCTTATTCTTGAGTCTTTCACGAGAGAGCATTTTATCGCTGTTTACTCTATTTAGACTACTCATGATTTTGAATAGTCCAATCAGATCTCTTCTCAGCCTTCTCTTCTGTAAAAGCAAGAATCCTAGCTTCAATCTATCCTCATAACTGAAATTCTTCATCCCTAGACCATTCATGTAAACCTCTTCTGTACAATATCTCAGTCAGAAGTCACACGACACCAGATTAATAGTCCAACAGGTTTATTTGAAATCACCAGCTTTAAGAGCATTGCTCCTTCATCAAGTGAAGTGAAGAAAAGCACACCGGTGCAGAATTTATAGGCAGAGAGATCAAATGATCGTCCAAATGGTGTGAGTGGAGTGTCAATAGACTGAATTATTGATCTCTGCAGGTGATCAAAAGTGTCGGACGATGTGAGTAAAGTATCAACAGCTGAACAGCAAGTGAAGGGATGACCTATAATCCAATTATAGGAGGCAGAGAGATAATTACTAAAAAAAAAAGAAATAAGGTGGTGCTGGAGACAAACAAAGTGGCTGGAATAATGTGATAGGTATGAGAGGGTCTAACCAAAGTAACCAGTAATCCAAAACTGTACAAACTGAAGCAGAGCAAACATAACTTATCAAGGACATGGTGTCAAAACAGGCCAATAAAGACAATTTTACAACCACAGAACAATATGGTGGGGTTACATGTCGCGTGATATGAACCCAAGATCATGGTTGAGGCAAAAGAGTCGAATTGAACCCTTCTGGAAGGCTGTTACACTAGGCTCGACATGCATGCTCAAGCCATCAGGAGATGCATTAATCCCAAAATCATCAGCCACACTCACAAGATAGTGCAAACAACACCGTGCCATCTAGGCTCTCAAGACCAATTGCAAACACCATCACCGAACCAGCAGACAAAGCAGGTGGCATCTTCATATGGAATAGAACAGACTACCACGAAGAAGCGTTCCGACAACTGAACAACCAGGAACACTACAGACAACTACCTGCCGATCCAACCAAAGGACACATCCGTTAACTCAACAGACTGATCAAGACCTTTGATCCAGACCTTCAGACTTATCCTATGCACTCTCATCCTGTGTGTTTCTCACGTAGGAGACTTCTACTGCCTTCTGAAGATACACAAAGCCAGCACACCTGGATGTCCCATTGTAACAGGACCCTGTTTGAGAACTCCTCTGGCTCTGTCAAGGGCACCTTGAAACCCATTGTACAAAGAACTCCTAGTTTCTGTCACGACACTACAGACCTCTTACAGAAACTCAACACCCACGGACCGGTCGGACTTCGTCGCAATGGACGTTTCGGCACTCTGCACCAGCAACCCCCATGGCGACGGCATCGTTGCAACAGCCTCAGTACTCTATACCAACAGGTGCTAATTTCCAGACGCCTTCCTACAACTCATCCGCTTCATCCTTGACCACAACTTCTGTTCTTCATCAGAACAGCCATGGGGATGAAATGTACATCCCAATACGTCAACATTTTCATGCACAATCTCGAGCAAGACTTCTTTGCTGCACAGGACCTCCAACCAATGCTATACACCACACACATTAACAATTTCTTCCTCTGGGCTCATTACTGGAATGACTACACGATCATATCGACAAGTTTCATCCCACCATCAGACGTACCATGGACTGCTCTTCAGAATTAGCCTCATTCTTTGGCAGGCACATCTCCAAGGACGGACAGTACCACACTTTACTGCAAGCCCACAGACAATGTAACGATGCTGCACTTCTCTAGCTTTCAACCAAAGCATTTTAAAGAAGCCATCCCTATGGACATGCCATGCGTATACACAGGATCTGCTAAGATGAGGAATGCGACAGACACCTAAAGATGCTGAAAGACCCTTCATCAGAACAGGATAGGATGCTCAACTCATCGATCGCCAGTTCCGACGTGCTACAGTAAAAAAACTGCAATGACCTCCTTAAAAGACACACAAGACGCGATCGATAGAATACCCTTTTTCACCCAGTACTTCCCTGGAGCAGAGAAACTACGCCACATTCTTCGCAGCCTTCAACATTTCAATGACAGGGACCGTTTTCGCCAAGATCATCCCTACACCCCCGCTTCTCACCTTCAAACAACTGCCAAACCTTAAACAGACCATCACTCGCAGCAAACTATCCAACCTTCGGGACATCAACCACAACACTTCACAACCTTGCCACGGCATCCTTTTGCGAGACATGTCAGTCTTTGACATGGATGCAGCCATCACATGGCAACACAACCCATCACGTATATGGCAGATACGCTTGTGACTCGGCCAATGTTGTCTATCTCATATGCTGCAGGCAAGGATGCTCCAAGGCATGATATGTAGGCGAGTCCACGCAGACACACTGACAATGGATAAATGGACACGGTGCAACAATCGCCAGACAGGAATATTCCCTCCCAGTCGGGGAACACTTCAGCGGTCAAGGACGTTCTGCCTCCGATTTTCGGGTAAGTGTCCTCCAAGGTGGCCTTCGAGATACACGATGCAGAATTGCTGAGCAGAAAGTAATAGCCAAGTCCCGTACCTGTGAAGATGACCTCAACCGTGATCTTGGGTTCATGTCTTGCTACATGTAGCCCCACCATACTATTCTGTATTTGTAAGATCTTCCTTGCTATCCTGTTTTGACACCATCACGTTGATAATTTGTTTTGATCTCTCTACGTTTTAATTAGTTTGGAAAGTATTGGATTACTTGTTACTTTAGTTAGACCCTCAGCAAGCACCTTTTTTTTTATACCTGTTATTCAAGCTGTTTGGTTCGTTTCCAGCACCACCTTTTTTTGTTTATTTTTTCTAATTATCTTTCTGCCTCCTATCATAGGATTATAGATCATCCCTTCGCTTGTTAGTCAGCTGTTGACACTTTACTCGCGTGCCTGACACTTTTCACCTGCAGAGACTTATTATTTGATACTACACTCTCTCCATTTTTATGACCTTTTTGATCTCTCTGCTTATTGAATTCTGTGCCTGTGTGCTATTCTTCACTTCCTGTTGAAGGAGCAGCAGTCTGAAACCTTGTGATTTAAAATTAACTTGGACTATAACCTGGTGTCGTGTGACGTCTGACTTTGTCAGGCGCCAGTCCAACACCAGAACCTCCACATCCTTCACAAACTGCAGTGCTGGACATAATAAACTAGTCGAAGCCAAATTAGAGTCTTCTATAAGTTCAGTATAAATTCTTTGGGAACTCTAGCAGTGCAAGAGTAGCTGATGTGTATTTGAATAACCAATTGAATTTCCCTGCCATGTCACACTAACCTGACATGGAAATATGTAACTGTCTCTTCACTGTTGCTGGGTCAAAATTGGGCAACTCCCTTCTTATCAGCACTGCGTATCCCTACACCCCAAGGACTGCAAGGGTTCAAGAAGGCAGCTCGTGATGTTCTCTAGAGCAACAAGGAATAGGCAATGAATACTGTCCTATCAAGCGGCACCCACTTAAGTGAATTATGCCCCTTTTTTTAATTCAAGCTCACGGTACTGTATACTCTATTAACTGATCCCTCAATCTGTCCTGCCACCTTTACTACCTGATGCATAAATATACCCTGGTTTCTCTGCTCTGAATTCTCTTTAGAATGGTATCCTTTTTACTCTATATCGTCTTGCATGTTCTTCCCACAAATCTATCACTTCATGCTTTTTCACCATTGAATTTAATCTGTCACCTACCTGTCACTCCTCCAATTTGCCTTTGTCTTTTGTAGTTATACATTCTCCTCCTCATCTGTTTGCAATGCTTCTGAGTCTTGTATCATTGTTTCTTATTTTTGGCCACCCAGTGGATCTTCTGGCATCGTCAAGCTCGCCATACACAGCAATTTCTGGTACAGAACCATCATTCTAACAATATGGCTTAGTCATTGTTCTTGACATCATTTCAATATTGCTGTAATATTTTGATTTAGAAAAGGGCAACATCAAGACTGTTCATTGGTAATGTAGATATCCAACAGAGAGAATTTGTTCCACATTATAAGATGTCCAATAGAGACTAACTCAATTCTGTTAATAGTAGTGAGAAAGAAGATTCAAATTATCCAAAGCATATGGAGTGGATAATGAAGACATATCTAGTTATTTTATCAAAGAATGGCTGAGGATCGATCCTTGAAAAAGAGTTATGCGATTGACCGTGATAAAGTTGAGAGGAGAAACCTGCCTAACAGTTGCAACTGTGGAGAATGTTATTTGTGACTTTGCAGGTTGACTGTTGTGGTGGAGTGGGAATTTTATTAGAGGTGAATATGGAAATTTGGGAGAGAGGTATGAATGGGAACTTTGGAAAGGCAAAGGAGGTTTGAAATAAACGGCTGTTTGCAACAGCAGGAGTTGAGTTTTGCTTAGGCCTGATGGCCAATTTGAAGGGAAAGGAAACACAACTAGAAACATTTTATGAAATCAATGTGGAAGGTTGAATAGCCAAGTGAGTGGGAGGTTAATTTTCAGGAATAGGACTCCTGAATCACTTCTGGACGAACTGGGAAAGCAGAATTGGGTGGAAAACTGGAGGTATATGGGAGACGTGAATGAGGGTCAGATGTAGGGAAAGGTTGTTAGCTGGGCCCGGGCGGATATGGTTGAAGCAATTGGATGGATTGTCTTGATCCATCCCTTGGATTTCTGAAGGTCAGTGTTTGGGAAAATGCAGGTATGGTGGTGGAAAGGATTAACAGATTTAATAGTGTGGATTATCTTTAGTATCCTGGGTGATCCTGATTTACTGGACACTTACAGTAGAGGCAAGTGAGGCCTGACAGCGCTTAATGTAGTCCAGTAGACCTGATGGATGGATAAAGTGTGAACGTTTACTAGATTTGCCTGTGAAGTGAGGGGTATTCTGTGGTTGTCTGACTAAATTGGGACTGTTTTTTGGAGTATAGAAGAATGAAAAGTGATCTCTTTGAAATGCAAGTAAAGTTGTCCAGTCCTAGAGGACTGCAGAGCTGATCTCATTAGAGAGTTTCCTGATGGTGGGTTTAACCTGAAGGCCACCACATCTAGGGCAAGATTGAGAAGATGGTTGATAGCTTAGCCATTTGAGAGTTTTCCTGATTGGGGAATCTGAATAATGGGTGCAGACTCAAGATAAGGGGTCAATCATTTATAGCCAAGGTGAGAAATTTCTTCAGCCAAATGGTTATGAATCTTTTGGATTTTTCTACCCCAAAGGTAGTGAATGGTCCATTCAAGACTGAGGCATATTTTTGATCTTTACTGTATCTGTTTGCTTGAAAGATGATCTATTCTCCCATGCCAGTTAATTAAATTGCATAATTCTCAGATTTCACAGTATTTATCTGTTTCCTTGTCGTTTGTAAAAGGGAGCATATTGACTTGTTTTTGGAATTTGAAAGCTAGTAGCAATCATGCTTAACTGAAATCTGAAGAGGTAATGTAGAAAGTGTGCCTAAGCTATGCAAAATCAATGTAATTGAACACTTTTTTTTTCTTTCCAGGAGAGTGTGTGCTCAATTACATGAGTTGTAGTTTAAGATTGAAAATACTGTGAAGATAGCTATTTTGTATTCAGTTTACGGTGTTTTCAATCATATTGCATAACACACGCTATGAACCAGACCAAATCCACCTCAAAACATATCAAGAAGATAGCCTAGATATTAACTTCTTTCTTATTTGAAGGTAAGTGTAAGGTGCTGCTTTCCAGATGTGATTTGATTAGTCAAACCACTAGGCTTTAGGCAAAACGCATTTTATTCTTAGACCACAGTTAAAATACACACAACAAAAGAATTGGCCTAACTTTAACTCTCTTGAAATACTTAAGAAAATAATATTTTTGTTAACTGTTACTGATCAACTGTTCAAACATAGCAGCATCCCATGAACACTACCTTGGCAAAGGCAAATTCAGCAAAACAGATTTCTCTCACTTAGTTTATTCAGTCCAAGAGAATGTTTCTTTCAGTATTTCAATCTGGCAAGAGAGAATGAGCTGTATCTAGCAGCTTCAACTCCAGAACCCCAATTTCAACAACACAAAGCAAACTAAAACCCTGGGTCTGAGAGTTTGACTCCATCCACTCGTGCTTCTTTTTTCTAATTTTAAAATTATCCAAAGCTTACTTATTCTGCTTTCAGTGGAGCCAACACCTTCGCACAAGGTTTGTCACATGCCTCTTCAAGTGAAACAGAACAGAACATATCCATCTTAAAGACAAATTTCGTCACACTTGTCCATTTGTTGCCATTCCCGTTAAAAATGTGAATGATTGAGTGTTATATAGAAAGGTTTTCTATTTGAGCAAATGATCAATAAACTGACACTTTACACATTCAGTATATTTCATTTTAGACAAAGGTGTCTCTTTTGTTTTAATTCTTGTTTGGATCGACATTTGTTGAAAGCCAACAACTATTGCAAAATGTGTTTAGAATATACTTGAACTGACCACTCGGTGAGAAAAATTGGTCCTGATTACGTACTGCTGAGTAGAGGAGCTTTAAATAAAATACTGATAGGTGTATCATTGCTAGAATCTTGAAACATTTTTGAATATATTCGGCGGGTATAAATTCCCCCCTCCTGCTCCCATTCTACTTATCTTCAGTGCTGGCAAATTCAGCAATGTAGTTGTGAATCCAGGATGGTGGGTTGCTTCCTTAGTGTCATGGTCAAGAATGTCCTTGCATGGCTGCAAAGTATCCTAAGGGGAAAAGGTGAACACACTCACTAGTCGTAGTCTGCATTGCTCTAACTATGAAGATCCTGCAGTCACATTTTGAGAGCTAGGTAGAAAATTATTGAGCAGAGGCTCAAAAGTAAACATTCCTCGATTACTCCCATACTTACTTGCAAGTGGTACTATAAATAAGATGAAGCAGAAGAATACTTGGTTTGGAAAGATGGTATAGGAGGGAGGGATTTAGATTCTTAAATTTGGACACCTTACACTGGATAGGTTGTACCTGTGTGTCTGAAATCATTGTGGGGTGAATCGCTAATGTTTTCGGGAATGCTTTAAATGAACTGGACAGGGCATGAGATTGAGGGAGTAATATTGGACAGGAATTCTAAAGTGCATAGAATACTAGGAGAGAAGGCTAGCACCAGAGTAAGAAATAGTGAGTTATTAGGTGGGTTCAGTGACAGAGGAAGTAATAAAAAATTAGGGTTACTACGCATGGGAATGTATGGACTTGAGTAAATAAGATTGAATTACATGTGCAGACTGCTATGTTGAAAAATATGGTTAGAACAAAGACCTTGCTTAAAGAAGGGTTGGACAGTATGTCAAATATATCTGGAGACAGTGTTCAGGAAAGGAAGAAAACGGGAAAGGTGTGGTGGTAC